TATATATATATATATATATATGGTGTTCGGCTTGGTTCGGGTATTTTCCCACGTCATTGTAGTTCTTTTAAAGTTGTAGCAACGTTTCAGCAGAATCTCATCTGCCATCATCATATATATAAAGATTTTGTTGGAGGAGATGCCTTGAAGATCTTGAGACCAGAAATTAATTGCAACAAGGCTTTAAAATATAGATTGGAGGTTTTTTCCTTTCCCTTTGATACCTCACCAGGAAGAGAAAGTGAGAACTTTGTGTTTTGTTTGGACTGATTGACTCTCTCTGGAACTTTGGGGAATTGCCCTAACTTTTGAAACATTTTGGTTGTTCTAAGAAGAAGAATAAAGAATGGCTTTATCTGTTGATGAACTTAGAGAATATGAAGAAAGAAAGGACGCTGTGAAAGAAGCCTTCCTCTTTTTAGAAATGGCGCTTGTTAATTATCAAATACAACAACAGATGGAGGAAATGGAAGGAGAAGAAGAAGAAGAAGAAGAAGACGCCATCTTCAATGAATCTAAAAATTTAGTTAAGAGAGAAAGGAGAAAGAAAGGAAGGAAAATGAAGGACTTAAGATTTAAAAAAATACTTAAGAAAGGAAAAAAATAAGATGCAAAACCAATTCAATGTTAATGTTACTGAGCAAAAGGAGAAAGGAATACAACAGAGAGGGGAAGCTGGAGGTAAAAAGGTTAGGTGGGATAAGAAAGGGAGGGAAAAGGGAGGGAAAAGCCACAAAGGTATAAAACAAGATGGGAAAAAAGGAATTTTTTTTAGGGATAAAGGGTAATGTATAATTCCTTTAAAAAAGAAGATTCTGCAAGGTACATAAGATGGTATGGTAGTATTTGTATTAGAAATAGAAAATTAGAATGTTATAAGAATTAACAAAAGACTAAAATATTGAAATGTTTAGTAATGATAGATTTTAAAATTTAATAAAAGATTAAAAGGAATGTTTAAAATATTGAGTTTAATTAAAAAGTTTAATTTACTCTTGTTTTGATCTTATTATAAACTCATTATTGTAGCACTTGTTTCTTGAAATAGACAATTGGAATGCTAAAGATTTAAAATTTAGATTTATTATTTAATTATATTAATTATTATGGACTTATTATTTTCTCTCTTTAGAGGTTAGTAGGTTGAATGTACTAAGCAGAATCAGATTGGGTATTAGGTGTTATTTTAAATATTAATTTAGGGGGAGGATAGAAAGGCATCATACCTTGATTAGTGATTTTAGGAGAATTTTTTTTTTTTTTTTACTTGCTGTAGGGAATGAGATAAATGGATAATTTGGAAAGAATGGACAAAAAATATAAATACAATGATTTAAATTAAAATGAATTAAATAAAATAGAAATAAGAAGAGTGAAAAGCGGGGAGAAGTTATATAGAAGATATAGAATGGTAAATAATATAGGTAATGGTATATAAGATGAGCACGAATTTAATTGAAGTCCATACAAAGAGAGGTAATCTGGGGCCAAACTACTTTCTTAAAAGAAGTTTTATATTTTTGTGTTTTGTGTGTCTATGTTTTCTTTGAGAATTAATAAAACCTCGGAGTTATGTTGGATGAGAATAATGTTAAACAAGACAGAGAGGAATGAAGATGATGATTATAAACTGGATAAATATAGAAAATTAATAATAATTAATAAAATTGAATACGAAAAGAGAAATAATGAGAAATTTGTTAAGAGATATCTATATGTTATATTGAAATGGTGAAAAATAGAATTATGTTGTATAAAATAATATTTTATTTGACTTGTAAAATTAATAATGGAGAGGTTTTATGTATTTAATGGTTAACGATGGTTTGTTTGTCTTTAAAATCAATAAAATTTGTTTCAAAAAAAAAAAAATGCTCCCCCCCCCCCGTGATGCAGGAGGCCAACTAGGCCATGCCCACCATGGCCACGCCCACCCAGCAACCAGGCAGAGAATCTAACATTGCTAACATTTTTAAATCTCACCCCTGTGTTAGATATTTGACAATCATTTGTGCTTTGCTTTCCTACCTTCGTCCGGCAAATATCGAAATTCCCAAAAAGATAGATTGCAATTAAAAAAAAAATTCCACAGTATTTTAGAATCAACAAATTTGTTTCAATATAATCCAATAATTGAATAACCCAATAATTTTTTCTAGATTTACAAACAAAATGAAGAGCGCCATCTACTGTATCAAATGAAACATGTGCAAGAGGCATTTGACTCTGAATATTTATTTGGCCAAGTGTGACTGGACCAAGGGTTTCAAACTCGATTTCATCAAGGGCTGCATCAGGCTTGTGTTTGATCTCCGGGGGGGTGGTGGTGGCCAAGGGGGTGTGGCCAGCTTGACATCACTTGTGTCGGGGGCACCTGCTAAGGAAGGACTTCCCTCAGAGTCAGACCCTCCCTCCTTCTCATTATAATCTTCCTTCCTTCCTTCCCTTCTTTTTCCTTCCCTCTTCATTCTCCTTTCTTCTTCCTTCCCCTCTTTCCTTCTTTTTCCTTCCTTCCTCTCCTCCCTTCTTTTTCTTTGTCTTTCCTCTTTCCCTTTCTGTTTTTCTGCCCCTCAAATGCAAATGCTCAAATGCAAAAGGGGAAACATTTCTCCTTTGGTTTTGTTTTTAGTTTGTTTTGCTAGCTCTCTGCCACTAGTTAAAAACTTAATTCAGTCTATTCTACTGGGGGGATGGCGGGGGGGGGGGGGGGAGAAATAAAGAAAAATTGGATTCATTTTACCTTCATGCCAACCAGAAGAGTCGCATCCTTTTTGGGGTGTTGCCACTCTTAAAAATATCTGCTGCCTCCAAGAATGCCGTCGAACCTTCACTGGGGTCTCGGGGACCAAATCTGCTTCATTGGATTTGTTATGTCTAAAATCAGAAGTCACAGAATTTATTTATTTTAGCTATCATTGCAAGACATTTTCCCCCCTCCCGGATGAAACAAAGATATGAATTCTTTAAAGAATCTCAACAGCAAATCAAAATCGAAAAGAAAATTACTCGGCTTAGTTCTTTAAATGATGAGCTTCCTGACAGACATTACTCAATGGTGGGTGTTTTGAATCGTCAAAAATATTCAGCAATAACATCCTCTTGCTGCTCATACCGCATTTCCCCAAAACTAAGACCTATCCTGAAAATAAGCCCGAGCTTGATTTTTACACTTGCACCATCTCACCGTTCCAGCAAAACCAGATCCCAATCAACAACTCTGAGACAGGCATTTTCCCAAAGTTTCTTTTTATTGGAAAAAGTCATACAGGCACATCTGGGAAAATCCGAATCTGAGAGTTCCAGGTTTTCCCTCAGTAAATCAAAAATCAACACCCAACCCCTGCACCCATCAGTCCATCACATGGTCCAATTGCCATCTGTCCCAACTTGAAACATGACCTTGACCGAAAAGAAGAATGCTGTTATGTCTAACTACTAACCCTCTAAAAATCCCCCTCCTAAGTTCTCAGGCACAGGAATGTGGCAGCGTGGAAGTTTCTGGTTTTAATATGGCTTTCAAATCTGACACACCCAATATAAGCCCTGTCCCCAAAATAAGCCCTAGTTAAGATCCCACCCACTCATTGTACCTGGTTGCATGCGGTGAGGCAAGGTTCAGGGGTGAAAATCAAGCTAGTGTGGGAAGGGTGGGAAGGGTGGAGCTTCCCCACATGCCCCACACCTACTTACCTTGCAGGCAGGCCTCCCACACCCTGACACCTGCCTTGCCTTGTTGGCCCACTTCTTTTGCGGCTGCTGGCTGCCACTTATTTGTGTCACCGCCAGATAGTTTCACTCTCAGCAGCCCTCAGGAAGGTGTTAATCCAGAACTTGTTTCTCGGCTGCAGAAGCCTTTCTTGAAGGCCTTTGGACGGCGAAACGAAGGCCAGGGGGTACTGCACCCGTCAATCCAGAGCTCGTTTCTTGGTTGCAGAGGCCTTTCTTGAAGGCCTCCGTCAGAGAAATGGAGGTTGGGGGCACCAAATGCGAATGGTTGCAAGCGGCTGCAGAAGAAGTGGGCTGGCAGTGGCCATACGGGCGCCTGCTCGGCATGGCTGTCGGTGCCACCACTGCGGGGTGAGACAATGGAAGACATCCCCCCAAAATAAGACCTAATGCCTTTTTTGGAGGCAAAAAAAGAGACTGGGTCTTATTTTGGGGGAAACACAGTAGTTATCCCTGCTCATGACATCGAGATGTGTTTGTGCAAAGGTTTTGTACGGCGGACCGGGCCAAAGAGACGCGAGCCGGGCCCTTACATTTTCCAGGATGGCCCTGCAGGCCAGATTGGACCACATCGTGGGCCGGATCCAGCCCGTGGGCCTTGTATTTGACACCCCTGGTATAGAGCTTTGTAGATGATAACCAGAACTTTGAGAAAGCTAAACATGGTCAGATATGGTTTCCTCCACACATGTTCTAACTTAGGCTTCCCCAACAGCATGAAGCTGAGTCCTTATCCCGATAAACCCCTTTTTTAATTTCATTTACAATGAATATCCTCTCCAAAGTCCTGGCCAACAGTCTTGCAAGATAATACCCAATTACAGACCTTTATCAGGCTTGGAGAGTGGCCAGGACGACATCTTTCAGATGCTGCAATACTTGCCAGAATGAACTAATTGTCTCCTGCAAAACCCCATTCCCCTTTCGCTCCTCTTTTATTCCCTAGGGGAGGGGCCATTCACCATCCATCTATGGCTTTACTCCTAAGTCGGCCCTTGTTCCTCAGCTGTTCCCTTCGTCTGGCAGCTCTGTGCATGTGCACGCTGGGAACAGGCTCCAGCTGTTCTTCTGACTGATGTCTGACTCCAAAGGCAGCTGATAACTGTCAGATGGTCCTGGCCCCCTCAGAAGCAGAGCCCTCTTCAGAGCCTTCCCCAGACTCCAGGACTGGTCCATGTTTCTCCCCAATCTCCTCACTTTCCGAGTTGTTGGGTCACAACCACACAATCCCACAGCTGTAGCCCAGATTGTAGAAGAAAGCCATAGCCAGCCAGTTTTGTGCTGGGTCCAGGAACACGACATAGAGCTGATCTCAAATCCGAAGACAAATTTTCTTTCTCAGTTAAGCCCTAATTTCTTCCACCGCTAAATGTGCCCCCCTCAGGTCTGAAGTCATGTTTCTGAACCAGAGATCCACTGAAAGATCCCCTGAAAGAACAGGTCCCCTACCTGGTAGGTTTCCTAAAGTCAGACGTGACATTTTCATCTACAGGAGCCAGGAATTTTAAGAAATTTGGTACAGAAGAAGAGGTGTGAAGCTTTTTCTGGAAAGAGGAACGGTAGGAGGTGCTGAGCATCGTTGAAAAGGGTGGCTCAGAGCGGGAGAAATTTAGCGTGGTGGGTAAAACACAAGCACGGAAAGAAAGAACAACACAAACAAGAAAGTAATAAGCAACAAATTAGGAAAAATATAATAGGAATGAAAAGAAAGCAAAGGCCAAGACTGCCAGCTGTATAATTTTTTTTAAGATAACTGCTTGGAGGCTCATTCCGTTTTCAGGGAAGGCCACGAAACCACATTTCTGTCATTTTCTTTGGGCCAGGTGTTATAAACACTGAAAACAGGGCTAAAAGAAGGCAGGATAGAGGAATCTCATAAGATGAGACTCCAGGTAAAGGATGAGTACCTGTACTAGAAACTCTTCCTGTGTCTATGTCCTATTTTTTTTTGTTTCAATTTTTTAACTGAAGGTGTATTAACATAATAATGACACATATTACGTACATCAGTAAGGGTCAATTTGGATTGTGGGTTCACATACGTGCAATAAATGACAATAATGTTGTGACTGACTGAGCTGATTTCAACCCGAGACTTTGACTAAGTTACACTAAACTTTATTTTATTTCTTCGTAGATTGGGTAAAGTTTCCCCTTGCACATACGTGCTAGTCCCGTGATGGCAAACCTATGGCATGCATGCTGGAAGTGGAGGGGGTCGCACATACATTGCATTATGGGTGCAGGCACGTGCGCACATTGTCATGTGTGCATGCGCGCACTTTTAACACACAACGACAAAAAAGTTAGCCATCGCTGTGCTAGTCGTTTCCAGCTCTACGGGGCAGTGCTCATCTCTATTACAAAGCTGAAGAGCCAGTGCTGTCTGACGTTCATGGTCAGGTGGCTGGCATGACTAAACGGCGAAGGCGCACGGAACGCTGTTCCCTTCCCACCCAAGGGGTCCCTGTTTTTCTACTTGCATTTTTGACATGTTTTGGAACTGCTAGGTTGGCAGAAGTTGGGACGAGGAACAGGAGCTTACTCCGTTATGTGGCGCTAGGGATTCGAACCACCAAACTGCCAACCTTTCTGATCGACAAGCTCAGCGTCTTAGCCACTGAGCCACCACGTCCCTCTTCCTAGATTACATGGAGTTAATTAGTTATCTCATAACTAAGAGCTACATCATAGTAGCACGATAAAGGTTATTTTTTCCAAGGGCTTGGAACTCTTGACTTATTTCAGTTGAATTCATGACTTCTCTTTGCAATGTACCAATGTCTTTGGTGACAATCTTGGTGAACTGATGCACTGCCAACCCCTCTCTCCCTCTGTCTCTCTGTCTCTCTCTCTCTCAATCTCTCTCTCTCCTCACCTCTTTGGCATGGCCTGCCTGCCTTGTTCTCCTCCACTTGAGCTATGCCTAAGGCGCTTGAAGAAATTGGGTGAGGAGGCCGAGGATGGAAGTTGAGCTGGAGGAGGCCGGGCAGCAGCTGGCGGCTTAGAGTTGCTGGCAGCGCTGGTCAGGTTTTATAAGGGGAAGGAAGGGAGAGAGGGGAGGGGAAGGGAGGGAGAAGGAATGCAGTGGGAGGAGAGGAAAGGGAAGGCAAGAGAAGAGGAAAGGACAGGGAAGGAGAGGAGAAGGGAAAGAAAAGGGAAGGGAAGGTGGGATGGAGGATGGATGGATGGAAGGAAGGAGAGAGTGAAAAGGAAGAGGAAGGAAGGAAGACAAGGAAAGGCAAGTGAGGAGAAGGGAAGAAGGGGGAGAGGGGAAGGGAAGGGGATGGAAAGGAAAAGAAAGATGATATGGATAATGGATGGAAGGAAGGAGAGGGTGAAAAGGAAAAATGAAAGGAAGGAAGGAGAGGGAAGTGAGATGGATGAATGGATGGATGGAGGAAGGAAGGAAGGAAGGAAGGAAGGAAGGAAGGAAGGAAGGAAGGAAGGAAGGAAGGTCAGTCAAATAAAGTATATGCATACAGGAAAGCTGAAAACAAAAATAACTCAAGCACTTTAATTAGGCCCCATGTACACAGAAAGTGGCATCAAGAAGCCCTTTAAGGCCCTATGACTGAAATGTGCTTCTTCTATGACCCTAGCCTCTCACGGATCTGCTGATCATGCATAATAATACTAATGCTAATACTAATAATGTCAGAATGAAGACAGATAGACAGAATACATTAAGGCATGGAGCAGGTATTTCTGCTTACAGCTTGAATGTTTAGCAGAGGTCAGGTTTTTTTTTAATGAGGGTAAAGTTGCCTGTTTCTCAGCCCTTGAATGTCTCAGCTTTGGAAAGCTTGGTGAGACACCAGAGTAGAGAAAAGACAGCCTGACGTATAAGAACCAAGACCAGTTTCTTTCCAACACTCCGTGTAGCAATCCTGCATATCAAACTACATGCTGAACATGCTGTTAGTAGAGTTCTAAAGGCAAGCCCAGATGGTGCAAGATGCGGGGGAAGGAAGTCTAAAACTAGCTTGCAACCTGCAAAGTTGTCCCAAAGTTGTGCTTTTTTTTTTTTTTTTCCCCAAGAGCCCACAGGACTTTCTGGTTTTTTTCTTTGGAGACGTTTCACTTCTCATCCAAGAAGCTTCTATGGCTCTGACTGAAGAAGCTTCCATTCCCCACCATCCAGTCAGAGCCGAAGAAGTTCTTGGATGAGAAGCGAAATGTCTTCAAAGAAAAACCAGAAAGTCCAGTTGCCTCTTGAAATAGAAAAGCACCTTTGGGATTCTATTCTGTTCTGTTCTTGTTCTTATTCTATTCTATTCTATTCTATTCTATTCTATTCTATTCTATTCTATTCTATTCTATTCTATTCTATTCTATTCTATTCT